AGCAACTAAGAATGGCCTTCAAGAATCAAAAAGTGAAGCCTACCTGGGGATCACGCGAAAGCAGCGCCGAAAGAGCTAAAGATGGCGAGCCTACAAAGGCTCAAAGCGAAGAGGCTGCACAGACACCTCAAAGCTATACGTTCCCACTCTCGAATCGTGCGAAAGCGAGACAATACGATCGGGAAGAGCGTGAAAAGAAGGAGAATCGGAAGCGACAAGCCAGAGAGCTTGTCGAAACCGAGGATTTCCTGCCACTCTCATGGAGTAGCGAGGACGAAGTTGAAGGCCCATACTTTGTCCGGGAGCGCGGTCGAGCAGTCATGTACTCCCGCACCCCTGAGATCGCTACGGCAGCTCGACGAGTTTACGGTTGGGAGCATACGATCAAAATATGTGTGCGAAACTTGCACGATATGAACAAACAGCTCGATGCCGAAGACATGAGTGCTGCCGGCAATTGTTCGAGATGGCTATGAAGACCAATCCAACTCTGGTCGCGGGCGATGCAATCCAGCGAGACCAGTTGAAGACGGTGGTGATAGATGCAGCGGTGAGCGGGGTGTGGCGAAGCAAGTTTCGTGGCACAGACCCGCCAGCAGACGTTGATCCGATGGAAATCCGTCTCAAGTCCGATGCGCAACCCCACCGTTGCAAGCCGCGCAAAATGAACCCGCTCACAAGCATGTTTGTCGAAGCATTCGGCCAACAGCTCGAACAAGACAACGTCATTTATGTGAACAACTCAAGCGCACACTGTAGCCCTGTCAATCCGGTGATGAAGCCGGAAGGCAAGAAGCTCGTGAAGACCAGCGATAAATGGACAACTGACGAGTTGTTGCAGTATTTTCGCCTGACGATCGATTACAGGATCATCAACAGCCAGACCGTCCCATTGGCTGGCGCGATGCCGTTCCAGTTCCTAGTGCTAGAAAATGTCCGGGGTGCCCAGTGCCTCGGCGTTTTCGACCTTACGAAAGGTTTTTGGCAGCTGCCATTAGCACCCAAGTCTCAAGAATTGCTATCGTTCATGCTTGGCTACCGCATTCTGACCCCAACGAGGGTAATGCAAGGACACTGCGACTCAGCGTTGTTCTTCCAGAACACCATGGCCACCTGTTTCAAGGATCTACTTTACAAAAACGTGCTTATTTGGATTGACGACATTCTCGTTTGGGGAAACACCCTCGAGGAATACGTTCAAGTACTGCGCCAAGTGTTCGAAGTGTGCAAAATCTACCGACTGCGCCTCAACCCAAGAAAGAGCAGGCTTCTGTGCCAAGAGATCAAGTGGTGCGGAAGGATCATCGACGGGACCGGGGTGCGTCAAGACCCTCAGCGAATCCAGGCGTTGTATGAGGTTCCTTACCCATCAACGGCTGGAGAATTACAGCAATTTATCTGCGCTGTCAACTGGATACGCGACAGTCTTATCGGATTTGCACAGACAGTCCATCCCCTGCAACAACGACTCACGGAAGCGTTGACAGGAATGAAACGGAAGAAACGAATCGCGTCAAGCATCAGGATTGACCTAACAAATGCGGAGAAAGCAAGTTTCGACAAAGTCAAAGAACTCATGCTCAGCGCTGTCCAACTGTGCAATCCACATGAAGATGCAGAGATGTGCCTGTTCACAGACGCGTCCGCCTTTGGCTGGTCAATCGTGGTTACCCAAGTACACGGCTATGAAGCCGACACTCCGATACAGGAGCAACAACAACAATTACTCGTATGCCAAAGCGGAATGTTCGACAAGACGCAGATCAACTGGTCCGTTATTGAAAAGGAAGGTTATCCCATCGCGCGCGCATGCGATACGCTGAAATACCTGCTGCTGCGCCCCAAGGGCTTCCAAATGTTCTGCGACCACAAAAATCTCATTCGAGTCTTCGCCCCCGACGACGAAATCAAGGCGCACACGCGCGAGAAGTTGATACGATGGGCCGACATGATTGGCCAGTACCGATATGTGATACAACATATTGACGGTGTGCACAACCTATGGGCTGATCTCATGAGCCGTTGGGGTATCCCGCAGCCCACAGAGGCAAAAGTGCGACGACTCCGCTGGACGCATCCGCCCAGGTTCCGGCACTATGCTTTCCGACGCCGCGACTCTCGACAGTATGCTCGCGCTCTGCGTAAATGGTCCCACAAGAAAAAGCGAACGGCGCCCAAGCATGTGTACACACCGCCGCAGGCGAAGCTACGCCCGCTAGACGACGAGGGACTACTTGCTACCACTTGTCCAAGCCAATATCAACCAAACGCCTGTCGCGACGTTGGACCACATGAGTCCAATGGAATGCTTCACCGGCCTGGAGCCCACGACACCCCTCACTACCATTGTAGGCAAAATCAATGCCACCTTGTCAAAGACAGGTTTCAGCACGATCAAGTGGGAACGCACGGAT